CTTCCTCTAAAGATTTGAAATACTCTAAAATAATAATATTAATAGTAATATTAATTATATTTCTTAAGATAAAACATTCCATATATTTCAGACGCACAAATGTAAGCAATAGTGATTTTCTTTTTACCCATTACCTATGGTTTTCATGACCCTCTCACCCGAAAAATAATAGCAAATACAAACTTGTCAATATTGTTATCAAATTCTTAATATAGCCCGTGTAGTTCCTCCATAAGTAATACAATTACATACACCTTGAATAACTGTAAGGTAGGTATTTAAAAAAAATGTATGCACACTTTAGCAGCTGATAGCTCACTTGATGTTTTTTCTTTCCAGATTAAACCCACTGGAGTTAACGATGGCAGTCATACTACGCTTTCTGGAATGCTACTGGAAGCGTGAGAACACAGTCCAAGTGCAAAGACAGATCCACCAACGCGACTTAGTCACTCGAATTAGATGTAAGTTTTTGCTTTGTGGAGGTTGTCGATATTCAAGGTCTTCCTGAACAATTCTCGTGGACATTCTGAACAGTTCCATTGGCTTTAAACTTATCTCTAATTCGAGTGATGGTAAGTCGCGTTGGTGGATCTAGCATTTCCTTTGTTCAAGGCTTAGTCAGACTGCCATCATTAGTTCCTATGGGTTTAATCTGGAAAGAAAAGACATCAGTTGAGTTATCAGCTGCTGGTGTGTATACACTTCTAACAAACACCTACTTTACAATTACTCAAAACGTGAATACATTTTTGGACACTATATATATATCCCATTATATTTGAGACACCCTATATATATATATATATATATATATATATATATATATATATATATATATATATATATATATATATATATATATATATATATATATATATATATATATATATAATATATATATATATATATATATATATATATATATATATATATTGGGATATAAATACATATACATATATACGTATATGATTTATATATATATATATATAATATATATATATATATATATATATATATATATATAATATTATATGTATGTATATATATGTATGTATGTGTGTTGTGTTGGACAGAAATATCTGTGATAACAATGTAGCGGCTGAAGGTACGGTCAGACTACCCATAAATTTCGCTGGAATCCAGGGATTTTCTGTGGGTTGGAACGGGAAGTAGCAACTCGAGGTGTTATGGCGTCTGATTCTATTTCTGGAAAAACCACATGGGGTATATTTAGATGACGTCACAAAAGGTACGGATGCTTTGTGAATATGGTCGATCATTTTTGTCTTTTCAGTGTTCATAAAGGATGGCAAATAATGATTTTAATGGTTATATTTTCATTGAACAATCATCAAAATAGTCTTGCGGATTGGAGCAGTGTGTGATTATGTTCCTGCATGAATGATTCTAATGTGGAATTGCTCGCAGTGGGAGTCAACCACAGGCTTGTATTTTTTACTCAGCTTGAAGGTATTAAGTATACCAAATTTTATTAATACCTCCATGCACTCAAAGAATGATTAAGAGGTATTTCATTTAATGTGTAGGATACCGAGCTAGCAAGACTTTATGAAGTCAAAAACGCCTGGAAAGCCATTGAAACTTTAACACTGTTAGATACTTTACAAAATGTAAACATGAACATGTGCTATTCTAAAAATAGTCCTTCGTAAACTCAAATAGCAATTGATGCGCGCATGCGCAATGGCACCTCGAGTTGCTACTGATCTAGCCTTCCCCGGGCTAGAACCCAAGCCAAAGCTGTGGTGTTCACGCTGCGAAAAGAACCGTCGGCTTTGTCCAGTGGAATCGCGGCATCAAAACAAATGGCAGAAATGACCGCAGAAACTCACTACAGATCCCGCAATCATCTCCCTAACTCTTGCTATTCATTCATGTTTTCGTAGTTCTAACCTTTTCTAGGAGGAAGTAAATTGCTTCAGAATTCCACATTTGGAACATTCACGAGATCTGCGGGTTCAACCTGAAATTGGCGGCTACGCATTTGTTTATATTCGTCTGTCAAATGAGAATCCATGGTCAATGCTTTAGTTTTTACTTTTCATTCGTATTTAAGCTTGAATTTGAATGTAAATATTGATGTAAGGCTAAATATGAATAATTCAGAATAATTGATGTAAAGCTAAATATGAATAATTCAGAATAATTGATGTAAAGTTAAATATGAATAATTCAGAATAATTTAAAGTATATAATAATATCAATGATTTGAAATAAAAATATATGCATATCACGCATACTATAATCTCAATTTTTCCATTCGTCCATCGATGGACTCATTCCCACTCGTCCATCAATGGGCAAATTCCATAAAAAAACTCTCTGGATATCACGAATCTATGGGTAGTCTGACCGTACCATGAGGGAGTGAAAGACTGATTTCTCCTGAGATTCCGAGAAGCGACAAAACACCACTTTAGTCGGATATCACCAGCTAATAGAAACATCTACGACAAAACTGCTCTAAATAGAGAGAAAAACATAAACATCTCACCTGAAATAATGAATATCAGCCAATGGAAGAGCCGCTAGGACGCCCACACAGGCCCACACAACGCCCATTATGATCTTGGTCCACTGCATGTTGAGCCTCGTGGTCCGGAACGGGAAGATGATGACCGAAAATCTCTCGAGGGTGATGACTTCGGGGTCAGGTCAAAGGTCAAGCATTAGCATCCAGCCGTAGTTATTTATCATGAAATAATCTAGATTTATCAGAAAGCTATATATTATACATGCGTGTTTTTTTTGTGTGTGTCTTTTCTTGTGGTTGTGATACCTATGCCACGACTGCAATTTGATGGCATTTATAGCACATAATCTTTTATATGATAACTGTCCTCATGGCAAATTCTGGCAACCCAGCCACTTAGTCTATTAGAAAAAGGTAGGAAAGGATTCAAAGCATGAAAAGGGTAAGAGGAAGGGTCGACGGGTGTGCCACGGAAGATGATTCCTTATCACAAAATGCCTTTACTTTTTGATATTCAGAAGTCCATATCAGACAGACCAATTTTCTATGCTGTATGGTATCTGTATGAGGCTATCAACCTTTAGTTTCTTTTTCTCCCTCCCCCTACAGCCTGCCTCTCTCTCTCTCTCTCTCTCTCTCTCTCTCTCTCTCTCTCTCTCTCTCTCTCTCTCTCTCTCTCTCTCTCTCTCTCTCTCTCTCTCTCTCTCTCTCTCTCTCTATGATCCCCAGAGTTACTTATGTCTGAAGAATATCAAATTATCGAACCAACTATTATACTTCTTGCATTATGTGTTTGTTCTCTCTCATTCCTGATCTCTTTCGCTGCAAGAAACTACTTTTTCATCTTCTCAGCTTTCTCCCATTTCTATATATGGCCGACATTATGGATGAACCACTCTATTACGGCTCATTCTATTCCTGACACTAACCCTCTCTTGGAATCGGCACCCACAAAGGCTGGCTTGCACCCCAGGTAGCTTTTACAAAGGGCAATCAAGGTAAAGTTCAAGGAACTACTCCTTGAAAGTCGTTTTTATACTCTTCCACACCGCACCCACCTGTGAGCGTGAACACCGACAACTCGCTGGAAAAGGTGGAGAAGAATCCGGCCAGCTGACACAGAGAAGAGCTCCTCCAGATTGCATCGTATATGAAGTAAACACCGCGGTAATTAACATCCACGGCAGCTATAATGATTAGGTAGAATCCCATGCAGAGGTCGCCCAGGGCAAGATTGGTGATTAGGAACGAGTGAACCTGAAACGGAGACACAAAGTTGCCGGTTAAAAACGTGCGAAAGTTGAGAATGTGGAAAGGCTGAAATTGCAACACGGGAAAACAAGTAGAATAATTTGCAACCGGGGAATGGCGGACCTGCACGACGCAGATACATAGAGTTGATAAGCGGAACGGAAATTAGAAATACTAATGGAAAATGAAGATTTCCACGAAGGAGCAACCAGGGATAGAGAGAGAGAGAGAGAGAGAGAGAGAGAGAGAGAGAGAGAGATAGGCAGTTACATAAATAGATAGATATGAATAGATAGAGAAAGAGAAATAGACATATAAATATATATACATATATATAGATAGATAGACAGAAAGACAGACAGACAGAGAGAAACAAATCGTTCGACCGTGAAAAAAAATTTGAGAGCAAACACACATACACAAACATATATATATATATATATATATATATATATATATATATATATATATATATATATATATATATATATATATATATATATATATATATATATATATACATACATACACACACGTATACATACATATATACATGTATATCCATACACACTCATATACCACAACAAAAGAATAAAATAAAAGACAATTCACCAAACCTTATTGTCACTTTCGTAGATCCTCCAGACGATGACGATGAAGTTGCCAGAGAGCGCGAGAGTTCCGAGGACCCACACGCTCACTCGCAGCATGATGTTGCTCATGAGGTCCTCGCAGGAACTGAACTCGTCGGGCGGAGGGTGACACTGCCCAACGCCGCGGGCCAGGCAGCAGAACCGGAATTCGTCCGTCCATCTGCGTAAGGTGGTAAGGTGGGAGTGCGTGCAGTGCGTGCAATGCGACCCCGCGGTGTGCATCTCTGTGTCACTGTCTGTCTCTTGTCTCAATGTCGATCTCACTCTCTCTCTCTCTCTCTCTCTCGATAGTTCTCTCTCTCTCTCGCTCTCTGTCTGTTATCTATCTATTTATCTCTACCCCCCCCCTTTCTGTCTACTTATCTATATTTTTCTCTTTCTCTATCTGCGTGCCTGTCTGTCTGTCTGTCTGCCTGTCTGTCTGTCTGTCTCTGTCTCTGTCTCTCTTTCACTTTCTGATATATTTTCCTTATACATTTAATGAAATATCCTGTCGTATCATGCATTATTTACACATTCATTACAATATGCAATCAACAAAAGCAGATTATCATTTTTAAATGAAAAAAACAACATTTATCTGTCTGCCTATAGAAAAAAGACAGACAGAGGTAGCGAACGAGTGAGAAAGAGTGGGAAGGTGATGAAAAGAAAGAAAGAAAAAGAGAATAGAGATAGATAGATATAAATAGATAAAGAGAAAAAATAAATAGATACATTGAGAGATTGATGGCAATAGATAGATAGATAGATAATAAGAGACAGAGAGCGAGGGAGAGAAATAGATATAGATAGAGAGGCAGATAGGTAAATAGATAGATAGATAGAGAAATAGACAAATAGATTCATAGAGAGAGAGAGAAATAGATGGACAGATAGGCAGATAAATAGGTAGACAGATAGACAGACAGATAGAGAGATAGAGATGTAACACTAGATATAATTTCAAATTCCCTTCCCATACAATGTTTTTTTTTTTTTTTTAGCTGGTAATGTGATTTTAGTTAAGCCTTTGTAGTTAAATGATATATGATAGGTACGTCTTAAAATCGCTAGAAGCTATACAAAAGGAAAATATTTATCATGCTTTATCTGTTTTTTTCCCCGAAAATCGCTGCAGTAATCGTTAATTAAAAGATAGAAAAATTGTTACGTTAGGATTAGTTTTTTTTGTAACTTATGAGTGATTTGTAAAGAGATGAAGTTCCTTTCAGCCATGTTTTTTCCACCTTTATAGCTCAGGGCAAAGTAGTGAGAAGTTGAAGTTGGTGTTTGTAATGAAATTAGTAACTTTTTTTTTTATCTCTCTCTTTTTTCTTCTAATTTTTGTTAACGATCATACTGACTTTTTCCTCAATGATTTTTATATGATCGTTTTGGAATGCTTTACTGATTTATTATAGGCAGCGGATAACTGTTGCAATCAGATTAACTTATCGTTGACTAAATCATTTCCTGAATGTCTTTCATCAGCGTCAAAAGCCTTCGGTATTCGGAATCATGACATCATATCACTGACATGTAAAGTTGGAGTCATGCTCATACTCGTCACCTGATACTATACACTTCTAGCTTCTGTAGCAATTTTCCCCTGCTCTTTGACATCAGTCTCCTATATTTGTTTCCTGGCGTGATCTGTTGCAATTTCGGTCGGAAATTTTCCTGGCAACGACACATTGATGCCTGATTCTCGAGGAAGTTAATCGGTTTCACTTTTCAAAACATTTCGGAAGTTCTAGTAATGACAAAATATGTCTAACTGAGAGGAAGATACTTGCTCTCCTTCTCTCCAAAGGTATTCCTATCGACGACTGTGAACAGCATCCGATTTGGAAAGACTTATTGACAACGTAAGGCTTATTATATTTTGAAATATGTCGATGGATATTCGCATAAAAAGCAAAAACAGTTTCAAGTGACGCGGGGACTTACCTCACTAACAGCCTAAGAGTTTTTTCTTTTCTTTTTATAGTTCGACTGCACTTCATATATATATATATATATATATATATATATATATATATATTATATATATATATATATGAAGTGTAGATTCGCTTTGGTTATTTTTTAAGTTAGTTCCCCCTGGTTGAATACAAGAGTGCGCGTTTTTTTTTTTTTTTTTTTTTTTTTTTTTTTTTTTTTTTTTTGCAGGAGAATGTATTTTTGTTAAATCATATTGTGAATATTGTTACAAGGTCTTGCGGAGTTTGCAGTTGGTATGGCGCAAGGCTTCCCTGTATGTTTGATCTTGACTGTGTATTGTTTTAGGCAACAAAGGCGATCGTAAAGCTAAGACGGAGGGAGGGAGAGAGAATGAGTGAGTGATACATACATACAAACATACATACATACATGGGGAGTATATATATGTATATATACACAATATATGTATATATATATATATATATGAAAGATATATACATATACATACATACTTAATTACATATAGATAGATAGATAGATAGATGGTAGATTTGGAAATGACGCCAAACACCGATTTCCGAGTGAAAACTTTTTCTGAAACGGAAGAAGCTAGTACTCATTTCCTTCACAAACGAAGCACAGCCATGATATCATACCCACAGGCATATATATATATACGGTATATATATATATATATTGAGAAAGTAATTACGATGGTAGATTTGGAAATGGCGCCTGATTTCCGAAAACTTTTTCTGAATTCGAAGAAGCTAGCTCATTTCCGAGTGAAAACTTTATCCTGGTTCTCGTTGCGTTCCTTCACAAACGAAGCACAGCCATGATATCGGCCCCGGGAGCTGGGGAGGGCATGTTAAGTATTAGGGAAATTGCGGGGTAAAATGATCGAATATTCGAAGTAAAACCTTGAGTGATAAAATTACTGCGAATCGCATTCATGGTAAATAAGGGGTTTAGACACCTAACCCCTATCAGGGAGGGTTGCCTCCCCCCCCCCCCGTCTAGTTTTAAAAATCTTCACCTCGTAAGTTCTGACAGGATAGACCCCGGACAAATATCTGGATCTCGCACCGATAATTTCTTTCCTTCACCAATAAATCCGCATTGGCCAACCTGCGAGTCGTCAAAATCCTCGTTGTCGCTTTTGGCGGGAAC